TCATGATTGCATCCACGACAGCAGTCTTGCTCTCGTGGACATTGTGGTTTGATTTGATCTGGACAAGCATAATGTACAATTTGGGCGCTGCCGCCTGGGGGCTTAGCACTCTTCTTGCCGTACGCGCTATTGTGAATGGAAATAAAAAGAAACACGTTGATTGGATAATAAGAAGTATTAGCTGTACATTTATGGTTATAACTGCTAGAATTATTATCGGGATATTGCTATTTCTAGGATCTGGGAGTTGGGGGTACGACATATACGTTTATGTCTATTCTGCAGTAATAACATCGACATTTTTCATCAATTTGATATTCGCAGAACTCGTCATTTTGCGCATCCGCCGAACCAGTTGCACAAAACAAAAATTTTATGCATCTGAGACACAACCCGTCTTCAGAAAATATGGGTAATGTTTATTCATTTGAAGGTAATCATTGGCGTTTCCGATGAGCTTATCGGCGTCCATTATTTGTACTGAAACAATGTTGACTTCACAGTCGCTGCTCGCCGGGTAATCATCCCATTTTTCGTCGGATCGAAAATTGGACTTCTCCGGCCTTTGATGCGCTTGGAGAACGACATGAAGAAATCAAGATTTACAGAGAGCCAGATCCTGGCAATTTTGAAGCAATGATGAGGGTCAGAAAATGGGAGCGGTGTACCTGATGATGACCTTTACTGGGAACGCGGGATCAGCGGCAGGCACACTGGACTTGGGGCTTCGGCTTGTGTTTCCTTTATCTGCGCAATGCCAAAAGCTTTGCATGAAACCGCAAGCGCGTTCGGCGGATCTATCGAGCGCTTGAACTGTACCTGCACATCAAGCCGAAAAAGCGGTTGGTGCAAGAAGAGCCGGAGCCGTTGGCTGTACCCGACAATGCAAATGTCACCTGATCGATGCACTGCCCGGCAGGCGATGCTTGCATCGCGGAGAGGGGACTTCATGTCTGACCAACTGGCAGACGAGCACAGCTACAGGACCCTGAACGTTCTGGACGACTTCAACCGGGAGGGTCTGGGCATTGAAGTGGCCATCTCCATTCCATCCCGTCGCGTCATACGCGCGCTGGAGCGGACAGCCGCTGAGCTCCCGGGGGGACAATGGTCCGGATAACGTCAGTGCCGCCCTGCAAATATGGACACCAAGACGTGGCATCGGTTTGGAGTATATCCAGCCGGGTAAACCGTGTAAGCCGCAGGTGCTCTTGGGACGTTTCGCGGTTTGATTATAGCTTTTCGCGGAGCGCCTCGTAAGGCGTTTTTCCGTTAAATGCTCCGTGCGGTCTGGCGAAGTTGTAGAATTGCTCCCATTCACCGAGCTTCGCTTCGAGATCTACGTCATCCTTATAGCTGAGTAGCTGGTAGAACTCCTGCTCGTCTGATCGGTGTGAGCGCTCGACCTTGCCGTTCAGTTGCGGGGTTCCGCGTTTGATATATGCGTGACGAATGCCCTTGTCTTCGACGTGCCAGTGAAACTTGACCTGGAACTCATGTCCGTTGTCGGTTCTGATCTCGCGAATGCGGAACGGGAACTTCTCGATGATGTGGTCAACGAAGTCGATTGCGCTGGCCTGGGTGTGTTTCTCGTAAACCTTCAGAGCCCGCACCCTTGTCGCGTCATCAATGGCTGTGAACTGGAAGCGACGAACCTTCTCTCCGCGATCCCCTTTGAAAGTCAGAAACTTGACGTCCATCTGAATGTGATGACCAGGAACCTGTTTGTTATAACGCTTGGTACGGACCTTGCGCAGACGGGTGCCGCGTGGAAGGCGGTTGACGCCATTGCGTTTCAAAATTCGAGAGACGGTTGCATCTGATATCTTGATGTTGTGATAGCGCGCCTGATACCAAACGATGCGCATGGGGCCAAGATGATATTTGCTTCGCAGATGGAGAACTTTCTCCTCGATTTCGATCGGGGTTCTATTGGCATGCCATTTAGCAATAGGCGGGTGGTTCACCAATCCAGCTTCGCCGCGTTTACGATAGGCTTCACGCCAGCGGTAGAAGCTACTGCGACCTACCCCGAAATATCGACAGGTCTTCGCAACATGGCCAATCTCTTCTGCATGTCTCAGAATGCGTAGTTTGCGCTGAATCTCGCGTTGATCCTTGCTCATTCACATCTCCATCGTCCGAAAATTCGGAGGTTAGTGGAAATGTCCCGCAAGCACCGACAAATCTACACCAAAACACAACGCCATGGGTTTTCAACCAAAGTACCGTTCCTGCGAATCAAAGAGCAACCAACTTGTCTTCGCCGGCTAAGTTATCAAGACAGGCGCACCTGAGACCGCACGCGAAGCAAGATCGATCACATCCTGATTGATCATGCGTATGCAGCCTGATGAGGCTGCAGAGCCGATGCTCCACCATTCCGGCGTACCATGAATGCGGTAGAGCGTGTCGTTGCCGCCACTGAATATGTACAGCGCGCGAGCACCCAACGGATTGGAGATCCCTCCATCCATGCCTTCGCTATAGTCAGCCAGCTCGGGTGTTCTGTTGATTTGCGCTGAGAACTGACCCGGTAGCCCCATAAATTTTCACTGAGAACTGACCCATGTAACGACGCTACCCTGACGCTTTTGTTTGGGGGAGATATGGAGTGATCGACATGGGATTTTTAAGTGTCATTCGACGTTGGGCATTACGTGAAGGGATGCCCATTCGCGAGATAGCCCGCCGTACTGGTTTGTCTCGCAATACCATCAAGAAGTACCTGCGAGAGGGCGCTGTTGAGCCGAAGTTCAAGGTGCCCAAACGACCGAGTAATCTTGATCCGTATGCGGATCGTTTGTCTGCATGGTTGTTGGCTCAGACACGCAAATCGCGCAAAGAGCGGCGTACTGTGAAGCAGATGCACGCCGATTTGGTGAAGTTGGGCTATGCAGGATCCTATGCGCGCGTGGCCGCTTTTGCCCGTGCCTGGCGTGACGACCGGCATCGTGCCGAGCAAACAACTGGGCGCGGCACGTTTGTACCGCTGGTGTTCCAACCCGGCGAAGCGTTCCAGTTTGATTGGAGCGAAGACTGGGCCACTATCGGCGGTGAACGGGTCAAGCTGCAGGCGGCCCATACGAAGCTCTCGCACAGCCGAGCTTTCTTAGTGCGCGCCTACCCATTGCAAACGCATGAGATGCTGTTCGATGCCCATTGGCATGCGTTCCGCGTTTTTGGCGGTGTGCCTGGACGCGGGATCTATGATAACATGAAAACTGCTGTTGATCGCGTTGGCCGTGGCAAGCAGCGTGACATCAACGCCCGGTTTAAGGCGATGGCCAGTCACTATGTTTTTGAACCCGAGTTCTGCAATCCAGCGGCAGGTTGGGAGAAGGGCCAAGTCGAGAAGAACGTCCAAGATGCGCGCAATCGCATGTGGCAGGTCATGCCTGTCTTCAAGGATCTTGATGAGCTGAACCAGTGGCTGGAAGACCGCTGCATCGCCCTTTGGATTGAGACACCGCACCGGGATCTGCCCGGCACTATTGCTGACATCTGGGAAGCAGAGAAGCCCATGTTGATGGCACTACCACCCGCCTTCGACGGTTTTGTGGAGCACAGTAAGCGTGTGTCGCCAACATGTCTGATCACCTTTGAGCGTAATCGCTACAGCGTGCCCGCGAGCTTTGCCAACCGGCGCATCAGCTTGCATGTCTATCCAGAACGGCTGGTCATAGTGGCCGAGGGGAAGACCGTTTGCACACATGAGCGCATCATAGATCGATCACACCGCAAACCTGGTCGTGTTATCTACGACTGGTGCCACTATCTCGCTGTAATCCAACGTAAACCCGGTGCCTTGCGCAACGGAGCACCGTTCATTGAGATGCCAGAGGCCTTCCGCAACTTGCAAGGTCACATGCACCGCAGAGAAGGTGGTGACCGCGAGATGGTCGATATCCTGTCATTGGTTTTGCACCATGATGAGAATGCCGTTCTGTGTGCCGTAGAATTGGCGTTGGAGGCTGGCGTGCCAACCAAAACCCACATTCTGAACTTGTTGCACCGGCTGATAGACGGAACGCACACTGATCTCCCAGAGGTCGATCCACCTGATGCACTCGCATTGGAAACAGCGCCAAAGGCAAACGTGGACCGCTATGATGATCTGAGACAGGCTGGGGGCAAGTACCATGCGTCATGACCCAGCAGGAGCCTCAATCGTGATCATGCTGCGCAGTCTCAAGCTCTATGGCATGGCAAACGCCGTAGAAGATTTGGTCGCCCAAGGCGGGCCTTCTTTTGAGGCCGCAACACCTATGTTGTCCCAACTGCTCAAAGCGGAGATTGCCGAAAGGGAAGTGCGCTCAATCACATACCAGACAAAGGTGGCCCGCTTTCCGTCATACAAGGACCTCGCAGGCTTTGAGTTCAAATCTAGTGACATCAATGAAGCGACCGTCAAGCAACTGCATCGGTGCGAGTTCATGGAGAACGCTGAGAACGTCGTGCTCATCGGCGGGCCTGGAACGGGCAAAAGCCATGTCGCGACCGCCATCGGTGTTCAGGCCATTGAACATCACAGGTGCAAGGTCCGCTTCTACTCAACCGTCGAACTGGTCAACGCGCTAGAACAGGAAAAGGCGCTCGGCAAGACCGGAAAGATGGCAGAGATGATGACCAAAATTGACCTCGTGATTTTGGATGAACTTGGCTACTTGCCGTTCAGTCCATCCGGCGGCGCACTACTGTTCTATCTACTGAGCAAACTCTACGAGCGGACCAGCGTCATCATAACCACCAACCTCAGCTTCTCAGAATGGGCCCAGGTCTTTGGAGATGCAAAGATGACAACCGCGCTTCTGGATCGCCTCACACACCGCTGCCACATCCTGGAAACTGGAAACGACAGCTACCGCTTCAAAGCCAGCTCAGAGGCTGCAAAGAAAAAACGAAAGGACAAGCCAACATTGACCAACACGTAACCGCTGATACATAAACAAAGGTGGGTCAAATCTCGGTGAAAATACCGGGTCAGTTCTCAGCGCAAATCAACACTCGATCACGTCGGTCAGACCAAAGCCCGTCACAGAAGGACCGTCATTCGTCAGCGTCAGGTGATAGGTGAGCTCCTCGCCCGGATCGGCAACACCATTGTCGTTGCCGTCAGAGGCAAGCGTCTTTTCAACCGAGACCTCACCGGGAACTGGCGTTACAACGCACTGCCCGTTCGCATCCGAAGGACCCTCACAGACCGGCGGCTCTTCGTCCGTCCGGTGAACCAGGTTTGCAACATGGCTCACACCGGCAGGAAGCTCATCGGCAACACGGACCGTGACCACAACAACAAGCGTGCTGTCTGCTGCAATCTCAAGATCCCGCCAGACAATCGTCCGCCCCGAAGCCTCGCCATTCTCGCTCGCAGATACGAACACCGTGTTGGCGTCGATCACGTCGGTCAGACCAAAGCCCGTCACAGAAGGACCGTCATTCGTCAGCGTCAGGTGATAGGTGAGCTCCTCGCCCGGATCGGCAACACCATTGTCGTTGCCGTCAGAGGCAAGCGTCTTTTCAACCGAGACCTCACCGGGAACTGGCGTTACAACGCACTGCCCGTTCGCATCCGAAGGACCCTCACAGACCGGCGGCTCTTCGTCCGTCCGGTGAACCAGGTTTGCAACATGGCTCACACCGGCAGGAAGCTCATCGGCTGTTGATTTGCGCTGAGAACTGACCCGGTATTTTCACCGAGATTTGACCCACCTTTGTTTATGTATCAGCGGTTACGTGTTGGTCAATGTTGGCTTGTCCTTTCGTTTTTTCTTTGCAGCCTCTGAGCTGGCTTTGAAGCGGTAGCTGTCGTTTCCAGTTTCCAGGATGTGGCAGCGGTGTGTGAGGCGATCCAGAAGCGCGGTTGTCATCTTTGCATCTCCAAAGACCTGGGCCCATTCTGAGAAGCTGAGGTTGGTGGTTATGATGACGCTGGTCCGCTCGTAGAGTTTGCTCAGTAGATAGAACAGTAGTGCGCCGCCGGATGGACTGAACGGCAAGTAGCCAAGTTCATCCAAAATCACGAGGTCAATTTTGGTCATCATCTCTGCCATCTTTCCGGTCTTGCCGAGCGCCTTTTCCTGTTCTAGCGCGTTGACCAGTTCGACGGTTGAGTAGAAGCGGACCTTGCACCTGTGATGTTCAATGGCCTGAACACCGATGGCGGTCGCGACATGGCTTTTGCCCGTTCCAGGCCCGCCGATGAGCACGACGTTCTCAGCGTTCTCCATGAACTCGCACCGATGCAGTTGCTTGACGGTCGCTTCATTGATGTCACTAGATTTGAACTCAAAGCCTGCGAGGTCCTTGTATGACGGAAAGCGGGCCACCTTTGTCTGGTATGTGATTGAGCGCACTTCCCTTTCGGCAATCTCCGCTTTGAGCAGTTGGGACAACATAGGTGTTGCGGCCTCAAAAGAAGGCCCGCCTTGGGCGACCAAATCTTCTACGGCGTTTGCCATGCCATAGAGCTTGAGACTGCGCAGCATGATCACGATTGAGGCTCCTGCTGGGTCATGACGCATGGTACTTGCCCCCAGCCTGTCTCAGATCATCATAGCGGTCCACGTTTGCCTTTGGCGCTGTTTCCAATGCGAGTGCATCAGGTGGATCGACCTCTGGGAGATCAGTGTGCGTTCCGTCTATCAGCCGGTGCAACAAGTTCAGAATGTGGGTTTTGGTTGGCACGCCAGCCTCCAACGCCAATTCTACGGCACACAGAACGGCATTCTCATCATGGTGCAAAACCAATGACAGGATATCGACCATCTCGCGGTCACCACCTTCTCTGCGGTGCATGTGACCTTGCAAGTTGCGGAAGGCCTCTGGCATCTCAATGAACGGTGCTCCGTTGCGCAAGGCACCGGGTTTACGTTGGATTACAGCGAGATAGTGGCACCAGTCGTAGATAACACGACCAGGTTTGCGGTGTGATCGATCTATGATGCGCTCATGTGTGCAAACGGTCTTCCCCTCGGCCACTATGACCAGCCGTTCTGGATAGACATGCAAGCTGATGCGCCGGTTGGCAAAGCTCGCGGGCACGCTGTAGCGATTACGCTCAAAGGTGATCAGACATGTTGGCGACACACGCTTACTGTGCTCCACAAAACCGTCGAAGGCGGGTGGTAGTGCCATCAACATGGGCTTCTCTGCTTCCCAGATGTCAGCAATAGTGCCGGGCAGATCCCGGTGCGGTGTCTCAATCCAAAGGGCGATGCAGCGGTCTTCCAGCCACTGGTTCAGCTCATCAAGATCCTTGAAGACAGGCATGACCTGCCACATGCGATTGCGCGCATCTTGGACGTTCTTCTCGACTTGGCCCTTCTCCCAACCTGCCGCTGGATTGCAGAACTCGGGTTCAAAAACATAGTGACTGGCCATCGCCTTAAACCGGGCGTTGATGTCACGCTGCTTGCCACGGCCAACGCGATCAACAGCAGTTTTCATGTTATCATAGATCCCGCGTCCAGGCACACCGCCAAAAACGCGGAACGCATGCCAATGGGCATCGAACAGCATCTCATGCGTTTGCAATGGGTAGGCGCGCACTAAGAAAGCTCGGCTGTGCGAGAGCTTCGTATGGGCCGCCTGCAGCTTGACCCGTTCACCGCCGATAGTGGCCCAGTCTTCGCTCCAATCAAACTGGAACGCTTCGCCGGGTTGGAACACCAGCGGTACAAACGTGCCGCGCCCAGTTGTTTGCTCGGCACGATGCCGGTCGTCACGCCAGGCACGGGCAAAAGCGGCCACGCGCGCATAGGATCCTGCATAGCCCAACTTCACCAAATCGGCGTGCATCTGCTTCACAGTACGCCGCTCTTTGCGCGATTTGCGTGTCTGAGCCAACAACCATGCAGACAAACGATCCGCATACGGATCAAGATTACTCGGTCGTTTGGGCACCTTGAACTTCGGCTCAACAGCGCCCTCTCGCAGGTACTTCTTGATGGTATTGCGAGACAAACCAGTACGGCGGGCTATCTCGCGAATGGGCATCCCTTCACGTAATGCCCAACGTCGAATGACACTTAAAAATCCCATGTCGATCACTCCATATCTCCCCCAAACAAAAGCGTCAGGGTAGCGTCGTTACATGGGTCAGTTCTCAGTGAAAATTTATGGGGCTACCGGGTCAGTTCTCAGCGCAAATCAACACGGGTACCGGGTTGGGTGGAGTACAGCATCAAAAACAACCTCTTTGAGTTCTTTGCGAACAATTCAGCGGGACCAAGAGCCCGAGAGCACCGCCTCCCAAACTGAAGGCGTGAGCCGCCGGAGAGTGTTTGATTTGCTGTGCACCAAATTAACGAAACACGATTATCTGCGGCCTTGTGTGCCGAATGAGACAGGCTTCGCTAACTGGTATGTAGAAGCGAGTGGTATACTGTTCTGGGTTGCAGGGTGGTGATCCCGCGGCGCGGCCACATTGCAAAAATCAGACTTTGAGCGCAGCTGTGGCTTGCCGAGAATTGTGACATCGTGAGATGCGATCGAACGCGCAGCCCCTAGCTCGGGACTATATCCTGGCGACAACCGGAACGCGGCTTGGATTTCTATTCCCTGATTTACCTGAGTGCGTGATCCGCCCCCTCAATCCCGTTGTGAAAAAACTGGATATTCAATCTCTTCCGGAAATCAAAAAATCGAACGCTTTTGGCCTTAAGGTGATGCTCTTGGGTTCATGAAGCGCTATTCGACCGACTTCCATTGGCCAATTTGCGTTTCCACCCGTACTCATTGTCGTGTCCAGATTTCTTCTGCAAAGCCATTCGATGGCCAGCTATAAAAGAGCGGGCATCCAGATCTTGCGCGGAAACAATGACCCTCGGCCGAGCGCATCAGTCCCAAACCAAAGTGCCACCATGCGTTCTTTGGAAAGCAGCTTTCCAAACCCATCTCTTAACTGTCTGTCCATCTTTGAGATGATACCGGAATGGGGTCTTTTGTACCCAAGACACATTGAAAGACAGACCTACTCAAATGAGCCTTACAGTGTGTTTTTCTCGTCAGCACTGTGCCGTACGACACATGCAATTCATGTCAAAATAAACCATATGGTGTTCAGCAGCGTGCGAGGTTCAAACGAACCGAAAGTTTCCTCCCAAGGTCGTACAAACTGCTACCCTCTCTTGGTTTCAACTTTTGAAGCGCCCGCTCCACGTGAGCGGGTTTTTTTTGCCTCTTCGCAGCTCCTTGTTGCGATGAGTGTTCGATTTCCAACGAGACCGTTCACTCGAACCTCCTCGAGCAGTGCCGAACGTCACAAGCCTGACGATACCCACGCACTAAATTAGATATCATCGACAACAGATTGCAGCGCGAACAGATGAGCAATCCAATGAAACTCGAAGAGCAAATCAGAACCGCTTCAGAGGCATTCTCAACAATGCTGGAAACGCATTTCGAGGCCTGGAAGCTGTCAAAGCCGGAATGCGCGATCGCGCGTCTCATCTTGCAAGGATATGAGGTCAGCGACTGTGCCGACATCTTAAAACTATCTCGCACGGATGTCTTGTCCCATCAAGGTACCGTGTTTGCAAAAGTTGGCGTCTCAAATTGGTCGCAAATAAAGACATTTCTAACTGATCAGTTATTCTCCGGATCAAAGCGAGGGCAGTACTGTCCATTTATCTGGAGCAAAGCACAAAAAAACTCAAAAATTTTCTAGCTTCACTATTTTTCCAAGAATGAAAGCACACTCGCCCAAGACGCACGAATAATTGTCGCGAGGGAATTTGACCGAACGCTTAGTTGCCTGCTGGTCATTCAAGGTTCGAGGGAGATCACCGAAACGGTCGACAAAATAGCTTAACGAAGCTCCGCTTCTGACACTGAAGTCTGTGACAATCAGCTATCAACTAACGCTCGGCATCCTTCAAGCCAAACATCGCGCGCGCCCTTTGGTTCGCAATTCCCTGTGAACAGACGCTCAATCCGGCTGACGCGTTCATTAAGCGCATGGTCGTTTTCTTCGAGCCTATACGCTCCCGGCGAGATAAGAACGGCAACCAGCCGATTGAATTCTTTGCTGTTCAAATCGGCAGGATGGCGATCATAAATTGCAAAACTAGTCTTGTGAAAGCCTGTCATCCGACCGTCAAGACCTTTACCCATTTCCACTGAACCGAGCCAAAGAGCCAAGATTTGCTCCTTGGAAAGCCAACTCTCCAGACCCATCGTAAAACCGGCTCGTTGTATCTTGTCGACAACAGGATAGAGCTCCTTGTACCCAAGGTGTTTTGAAAGCGATTGTGTAATCGTTGTGCCACTTGCACCAGATGTTGAAAGGTCAACACCAAAATGACCGGCAAAATTTGGATCTTCAATCCGCAACAACATTGCCAGCCGCGCCCGGCCGAGTGATGCCCCGCCAAGCTCGTGCTCAATTAATCTGATTGCATGTTTTCGCAATTGCGGTGCATCTCGAAAGGCATCCCAGTAACCCTTTCCGCAGAATATAATAGCCGATATCATCAGCAAGGTTAGTGAAAGTTCCAGGGATTTGACCAAGCGCCTCATGAACATTCTCGTTTGAATTCAGATTCATGTAGATGGTCCTTTGTAGGGTGTTTTTCTGGGCATCTAAGTGTCTTACGACACAGGCACTGCTTCTCGCATTGAGCCATATATTAAGCAGCAGTGCATAAGGTTCAAAAGAGCCGAATGTTTCCTTTCAAGTTCGTACCAACTGCTGTTTCCTCTTGCTTTCAACTTTTGATGTGCCCGCTCCCCTTGAGCGGGCATTTTTTTGACTCTTCGCGATTCCGATTTTCCAACACCCACACCTGTTCTGAAGATGAGTACCTTGAACTGGCCCCCATTTTGACCGGACACCCTGGCTTGAGCAGGGAGGCTTAGGGATATCGTTAAGCACGTGCTTATGTCTGAATTTGAAATTATCACCGATGGCGGCCGTCGCCGTCGCTGGTCTTCTTCTGAAATGCTGAGGATTTTTGAGGAGACGATGTATGAGGGCGGGAGCATATCGGCGGTTGCCCGTCGCAATGGCGTTGCGCCCAATCTGCTGTATCGTTGGCGTAAACTGATGCTCGAAGAAGGCAGCATTGCCGTGACAGGAGACGATAGCGCCACCAGCAACAAGGCTGTGCGGGAGATGGAGAGCCGCATTCGGGAACTTGAGCGTCAACTCGGGAAGAAGACGCTGGAGAACGAGATCCTGAAGGAGGCGTTGGAAAAGAGCCGCTCAAAAAAACCGACCTTGCTTGCCAGGTCGTTCAAAGCGGACGATTTGCCATGAAGACGGTAGCGGACACACTTGGCGTCTCCCGCTCCAATTTGCATGAGCGCGCAAGAGGGACCACCAAGCCGCATCAGAGCTATCACAAAGCTCAAGACGCGGCGCTGTTGCCACGCATCAAGGCATTGGTGGCAGAACGCCCAACCTATGGTTACCGGCGGATCACTCCCGTTGTGATCACCGGCAACGACACGCCCCCGGAAGCAGCTACAGCCGGTTAAGGCATCTAACGCGAAGTCGAGGGTCCACACCTCGTTTGATCTGCTGGGCAAACCGGATTGGCTCTGGGCCTCCGTTTCTCAGACTAGCGTACTGTACCACCTCATTGGTTGAGGATCCTGCTGGACTTCCATTCGGGTTAACAAATAGCCCTCACTGAGTGGAAGCGATGATAGCGAAGATTTATTACCTTGACGGCTTCGACCCACCCACGTTCGCCAAAAAAACCCGGCACCGTTTCTAGATATCTGCCTTTTTTGTGACCTTCAATTCAATAGCAACCTTCGCTTGTGTGACGACCGTTACATGTAAAGACTAAGGTTTTTTGTCTTTATGTACACCGCCAGCAAAAAATTTTTGATCGGCGTATCATGTGTACAGAAAGAGACCGAACAAATGGGCGCGTTACAAGCCAAAATTGCGACCGATACATCTCCTATCAGAGAAAATCGATTTTCAACACTTGTGAAGAAACCGCCCGACCAGTTTGCATACTGGAAAAATTCTCTTTGTTCGATCTTTGACGTAAAGGCAGCTAACGCGCAGAAGAAGGGATATCGTGCGATTGTGCGAGCGCATGACCTCGGGCCAATACAAATCGCATCGCTTCGGTTCGATGGAATGAGATATCAGCGCACGACGGAACACATTCGCCGGAGTCACTTAGATCACTGGCAACTGGTCCTGCGTAGAAGCGGATATGAGTACAATAGATCAGCCGGCAGAATCCTGCGTAGCCGAAAAGGCAGCCTCGATCTCCGTTCGATGTCACAACCCTGTTTGGCAAGTTCGAGCTCGGGAGACGTCATCAGTATTTGGATGAAGCGGGACAATTTTCACACGATCGCGGCCCATCTGGATGCTGCCTGCCACAATCCGATCCGAGGTGGGGTCAAGAGCATTTTCCAGGAGTTTATTGTTTCGCTCAATCGCTACCGTTCGACTATTGCAGCAGAGGATGTTCCGGTTGTAGCAAGATCTTTTTCTGCCCTCCTGGGGGCAATTGTCAGACCGACTCTCGAGCGTCTCGAGGAAGCGGCCACACCTATTGCTGCGAGCCGCCTGGAAATTGCAAAGCAGTTCATTGACGCCAATTTGCGGTCTCCTGACCTCAGTCCTGAGGCCCTGTGCCGAAAGCTGAATGTGTCAAGGCGAAAACTCTATTATTTGTTTGAGCGTTCAGGCGGGGTTGCAAAATTCATTCGAGAGCGAAGATTGATGGCCTGCCACTCCGCCCTGGGAAGCAGATCTGACCTCCGCCTGATCAGCACGATTGCCTATGACCATGGTTTCTCCGATCCAGCCCTCTTCAGTCGGCTCTTCAAATCGCATTATGGGTACAATCCACGAGACGTGCGCGAACTCGGCCTTTCTGAATGTGTGGTCGATCCACGTGCTCCCAAAAACTTTGTTCAATGGCTCCTCCAAGACAGGGATCAGTGACTAACGGGACGCATTTCACAGACCCCAAGGAAGACAGCTGGACAGCCGCCGAAGTCAAGCAGTTGTTCGCCGAGAA